CCCAAAGCTCCACTTGGAGAAGTCACCCAGGACAAAGAGCATTCCGCAAGGTGGCTGAGAGTTGGTGGCCTGAGCGGAGACTGGCTCATGGTGGTTAAGCCACTTGCCCAAACTCCTTGTGGCCCATCCAAAGGCTCTGCTCCCTGGTCTCTGGTGCTGACTCACTGGAAACAGCTTTGGAGATGGTGAGGAGTTGGCGCCTCTCAGACACAGCCAGTGGGGGTCCTTCCTGGGTGTAGCGTAACAGGGGGTAGCAACAACTCTGACAATGTGTACCCCCTTGGCCGGCATTTACAGCTCTGAGGTCTTATCCTACGAACATTCCTGTTCATTTAGGCCCAGGCCTAGCTCAGTTCTCTCACCTGTGTCTCCAGCTCCATCATCTGCCTTATCTCCTCCATCACCTCCACCTCCGCCTGTCTCCACCCGCTCTCACTGTCTCTCTGCATCGCCACCACCTCTTACCTCACTCTCACTTCTTTGTCAACCCTCTTGCCGGTCTCTCCATCACGACTCCGTCATAGCGCTCTCCCATCTCTCTTCTCCTTCTATTGCCTCTCTCTCCTCTCTTTCTCCAAATCTGTGTCTGTGTCATAGCAGAATTATCAAGAAGCTGAAAAGTGGAATCAACCAAATTGTGGAACAATATGGGGTGGATTTCAATTCTGTAATTAATATGGATTGACTTAAGTTCTGATATTTTTATACAATAAAATACTCCTACACTCAACAAACGTTTTAGCACCTGCCTTTGCCACACACCATGACTCCAATAGCGAACAAATGCTACACAATTATCGAAAGGATGAGGAAACTTCTGTTTCATGATGGTGGACAGAACTTAGAGGTTTACCTCCTTTTCTGTCCTGCCAAATCCCACTGAAATGACATTGGCGATGTGTAAAAGGGAACAAATCTGTAACAGATTGGAATGGGGGCAGGAAGGGACGGGCTTATACCAACTACTGCACTTTCACCCCCTAGTTCTTTATTCCTCAATAAGAACAACCAAATCTCACCAGATATTTGAGATTTAGTGTAAAAGAGATAATCAGACCAATTGAGCCCAGAGGAAATCTGAGAATAGAATAGAACTTTCGAGAAGTTAAAATATTGCTTCGTCCTGCTGAACCTGCTGCTGAAATCCACCCAAAAGCTGTGTCAGGGAATTCCCATGAGAGATTTCCCCAAACCATCCTGGGATGGGGCCGGTTGAGATTCCAAAAAAGATGCGCTAAATGCCAGGGGTCAGTGCAAAGCGTCAGGGGAACTTACATCAGAGTGCAGCAGCGTATCCTCCGACTGACAGTGAGAGAAAAGTGTTGTCCACACCGAGGGGTCAGGTTGTGGACTTCATATGAGAGTCTCAGGAATTCGGCTCAGGACCATGGCCAGTTTCTTTAAGTGTCTTACAAAACCTAGATACCTTGATCAGTGCTTGGGAATGTTCAAGTTCCCAGGTTTGTTTGCAGCCTGCTGAGCAGAACATGGAGCCGGCCAGGTCCCAGAGGGGTCAAGGCACTCTGATTTTTGGTGAGGACAGAGAAAGAAAGTGGAGGAAACTGGGGGACCCTCCAAATATGAAAGTAGTATTATTCATAAGAGCAAATACCAAGTTGTCAAGGATGTGAGGCAGCTGGAATGCTGATACTCACCTGGTAGGAATGCAAAATGGCACAATCTCTTTTGAAAACAGGTTGGCAGCTTCTTAAAATAAACATAAACATACCACATGACCCAGGAGTTCCACTCCACACAGAGACTTGTGTGGAAATATTTACAGCAGCTTTATTCATAATTGCCCCAATTGGAAATAGCCCAAGCGTCGACTGGAATATACCTCAGCAACAAAAACGAACTGGGGCCAGCCTGTGGCTCACTCGGGAGAGTGCGGTGCTGATAACACCAAGGCCACGGGTTCGGATCCCATATAGGGATGGCCGGATTGCTCACTGGGTGAGCATGGTGCTGACAACACCAAGTCAAGGGTTAAGATCCCCTTACCGGTCATCTTTAAAAAAAAAAAAAAAGAACTACCAATGCATGTGACCACGTGGGTGAATCTAAAAAGGACTAACTGAAGTACAGTCAGACACAAAATAGTACGAAGCACATGATTGCATTTTTATTAAATTCTGTAAAAAGCAGAATTACAGAGATAGAACATAGACCACTGGTATCCAGGGCATAGTTGTAGGGAAGAGAATGACTGCAAAGGGACATGAGGGAACTTTGTGGGGTGATGAAATTGTCATTTTTTTTTTTTTTCGCAGCTGTTTGGTATAGGGATGGAACCCTGGACCTTGGTGTTATCAGCACCATGCTCTAAACAACTGAGCCAAATGGTTGGCACTGTCCTATACGATTTTTTTTTTTTTTTTTTTTCTTTTCTGGCTGCTGGCTAGTACAGTGATTTGAACACATGAACTTGGGGTCATAAGGCTTTACTCTAATCAACTAAGCTAAACAGTCATTTCTTAATAATAAAGGACAAAGCAGTCAGGAGAACGTAACAATCGTCAATGTGCAGATACCTAGTGACAGACCTCCAAAGTACATGAAGCGAATCCTGCCAGGAATGCAGAACTAGACAGACCCACATTTAGAGGTTGAGATCTGAACATTCTCCTCTCAGTAGCAGGAAGAGCAAGTGGACAGAAAATCTGTTAGGAGTTAGAGGTGATAATTGTTTGTTTTCTTTTGGCAGCTGACTGGTACAGGAATTGAACCCTGGACCTTAGTGTTATCAGCACCATGCTCTATCCAGCTGAGCTAACCAACCAGCCCTGATGGCTAATATTATGCTTCAACTTGACTGATTTGGTCAAATATTATTCTGAGTGTTTCTGTGAAGGTGTTTTTGGATGAAATTAACATTTGACAGACTGAGTGAAGCAGATTGCCCTCCTCAACGTGGTGGGCCTCGTCCAATCCACTGAAGGCCTGAATCAATCAGAAATGTTGATCAGCAAGTAAGGGGGACCTCCTCCTGCCTGACTGCCTTAAGCTGGGATACCGGTCTTTCCTGCCTTCAGACTGAAACCAAAACATCTGCTCGTCCTGTGTCTTAGCCTGCTGGCCTTCAGACTGGAACTCACACCATCAGCTGTTCTGTGTCTCCAGCTTGCCAACTCCCCTGCAGATCTTGGGATTTCTCAGCCTCCATAACTGTAATTTCTTATAACAAACCCGTTCATGTATATATATCTGTCTGTCCACACATGCCAACACCCCCCACTGGTTTTGTTTCTCTGGAGAACCCTTTATAACATAGAAGATCTGAACTACACTGTTAAACAACTTGACCTCACTGATATTTATAGAACACTCCACCCAACAACAGCAGAACACAAATTCTTTTCAAGTGCACATGGAACATTCACCAAGATAGACCATGTTCAGGGCCATAGTACAGGTCTCAATAAAAGGATCAAAATTATTTTAAAATATGGTGGAAAAAAATAGAACATTGGGTAGAAGAGCCAGAAGTTAGAAAAAACAAAACAAAACCCTACAACGCAAAGCAAAGACACTAGAAGATAGACTATATGAGTGAAAAATTAAGAGAAAAAGACAAGGATGTACGAAATCTACTAGAAGTTCCAGAAAGAGAATAGAAAATCAGGGGCTGCGGTGTGAAAGGAAAGAAATAAAAGAACAAGTTCCCACGTGTCTGTTACATAATGTTTCTAAAGTTTTTTGTTGGTGGTGGTAAACCTAAATTCTTTTTTTTTTTTTAATAATATGACCGGTAAGGGGATCTTAACCCTTGACTTGGTGATGTCAGCACCACGCTCAGCCAGTGAGCGAACCGGCCATCCCTATGTGGGATCCGAACCCGGGGCCTTGGTGTTATCAGCACCGCACTCTCCTGAGTGAGCCACGGGCCGGCCCTAAACCTAAATTCTTATAAAAATTTGGGATTACTTGGAATCCACCCTGCCTATTGGAAAATTAAACAAAAGAACTCACAGCCTTTGATTTTCTGGGTCAGCGCTAAATGCCAGGGGTCAGTGCAAAGCGTCAGGGGAACTTACATCAGAGTGCAGCAGCGTATCCTCCGACTGACAGTGAGAGAAAAGTGTTGTCCACACCGAGGGGTCAGGGTGTGGACTTCATATGAGGGTCTCAGGAATTCGGCTCAGGACCATGGCCAGTTTCTTTAAGTGTCTTACAACAACCTAGATACCTTGATCAGTGCTTGGGAATGTTCAAGTTCCCAGGTTTGTTTGCAGCCTGCTGAGCAGAACATGGAGCCGGCCAGGTCCCAGAGGGGTCAAGGCACTCTGATTTTTGGTGAGGACAGAGAAAGAAAGTGGAGGAAACTGGGGGACACTCCAAATATGAAAGTAGCAGTGCGGCCCGGTGCCTGGTTTCACACATTTTACTGAAATCAGAGCAGCTGCTGCAGTATCTTCTGGAAACTGACCCTGGAGTCCTGTCGTCTCCACCCCTCTGCCTGGTCCATACTGCAATTCTTTCTTCTCCCTTTGATGAATTGGCCTCATTACATGACTTAATGCGGAATGTCAAGGTGGAAGCATCCAGGGACCGCACGGTCTAGAAGACGACAGGGGAGATTCGAAATGGGAAGACTCGTCCCTTCTGTTCAGTGACACTAGATAGAGATGTGTGTTGCAGATCTTTCAAGATGGAAGGAAAATCTTAACAGTTATTTCTGGGAAGGGGTGGCTGTGAATAATCTTATTATTTATCCAAATAAATGAGCTAATACTTATAATGTGCTTAGGACAGATGTTTAAACTGCTATAAAAACAATTTGTTATGTTAAATAAATCTTTTTTCTAATTTTCCTACAATAAACATAGATAATGAATAACAAAGGTAATTTCTAAAATACTTCTGGCTCCATTAAAGTCAACAGAAAAAGAGGTTTTTTTTTTTTTTGAAACCAACAAGATTTGATGGCTAATGACCCAGGGACCTGAGCCCAAGGAAAGAGCTAGAAATGACCTCCACATGCCAAGAGCATGCTTGGCTGAGCACGAGGAAGTAAATGCATAGGATGTTCTGGGCAGGCCCAAGAGGCCTGGTTTACAGGAGGACGGAATACACCCTTCTCAAACTGGACTCACACAGAGAGGTCGTGACCTGATTTTCTGAGTCAAATCTTTATTTGACAAAGTTCCTTCCTGATAATGCAGCCATGTGAGAGGAGCAAGCAGGTGCCCAGCACCCAGCCTCCAAAAGCATCTCCAGCCAGGAAATAAGGAGCAAAGAAGTGCCCCCCAACCGCTGCTGCTTTAGTGTCATGAAGGAGGCGGCATGTGGAGGGCTGACCACAGGGCTCCTCCCAGATGGTTGTGAGTCCCCACAGCAGCAGCAGGAACTGGACCTGGAAGCTGGTGAACCTAACAGCTCTGGGTATAGGCTGCTGCAAGCCGGACAGGAAGGAGGGGCCCAGAGGCCAAGGCTCCCAGTGGCTGTGCTCCTCGGTCCCGACTTCCGTAGGGCCTCAGACTGTCAGGGGCCCCAGGCTCAGGCTCAGCTCAGAGCCATAGGCTGGCTCCATTTCCACTGAAGTCCAAAGCTGGCCCAGCTAGGAGGGACAGCCACTCACAGAAAAGGGATATCATTGCCCCTCAAAATGGGCTGTGATTTGTTCCAAAGTCCTTCCTTTGGTTTCAGGGACATACAACAAGGTGAAAAGGACACTGCAGGTACAGAAGGCAGAGGAGAGACAGAAGGCGCAGTGAGGCCTGAGGACCTCTACAGAGAGAGAGGAAAAGCCATGTGGGGACGAGGGAAAATGACAGGAGGCCCCCACGGGATCATGAGCTGAGGCCACCCAAACCCTGGGCGTGAACCCGAGCCCACCAGACCCACGGCTACAACCATTCTGTCTCCATCCAGCTCTGGATTTCAGGAAGGTGGAGGACAGGCTAGTACACAGTCCTGCTGCCTGGCCTCAGCAGTGTCCACAGTATCAATGATTTGTGAATGGGGAAACTGAGGCTCACAGCAATGAAGTGAATGCCCCAAGGTCAGAGAACCAGTATCAAGTGATAGCTGGGCTCCCGCTCCTGGGTCCAACCCCAGGACCCACAGACCCACCTTGCTGGCCCACACAGGGTTGAGTATAAAGTCCTCACAGCACTTATCACTGCTTTGTGATCACGTGTTTACTTCGCTCCTTCCCCAATGGACATGACCTCCTCTAGGCAGCAGGCACTTGGTGTTTGCAGTAGCTGAATGCCTCACACTTCACAGGCAAACTGCTGCACTTAGACTGTTTATAGCTTGGTCAGGCACATGGAGAAGCTTATGTAGACAGGATGCTCCAGTGAGCCCAGAGTGCCAGACAGCCCTCTGAGCCATGGACAAACCAGTTCCTGGCCTCTGGTTGGTGGGCTCCCTCCTCATGAGTGTGCAGATTTCACGTCCTGGACTTTTTAAAGAAATTTTTATTGCCAGAGGAGCCCATTTTTATAAGCAAAGAGCCATCAGCCTGATTACTAGGGTCCATCTCTTGTCCTCTCTTCATTCACTCCTCAGATCCGTGACTCTTGTCAAATCCTGGGTGGCTCTAATGCTGCCAATTTGGAAAAATGTTTTAAACAGCCCTTGGTTTTTCTATTCCAGGCTGAGAAGCAAGAAACTTTAGGGCAAAAAAGATGACAGAAAAAAACACAGTTAGAAGCTCATAGAGCTTACACATTAGTATAACATGAAACACCAGCCAGATCCAACTAACACAAGGTACTCAGCCTGATTCTGTGAGGGAGACAGGGGAAGAGAGCAAGGGTTCAAGAGCCAAAGAACTCTCAAGTTCAAAGCAGTGCACCTTCCTAGCCTCAGTTTCCTTCTTTGAAAGGCAAGAATAAGAGGCAGCCGGTGGCTCACTTGGGAGAGAGTGATGCTGATAACACCAAGGCCAAGACGAGATACAATAAAATGGAGTCATCTGGATGAAAGGCACAGGTAAATTACCTTCTCACACATTAAAGTTTTCATGAACAATGTCACATGTAACGTGTCTACCTCCCAGCCCTTGTACTGGAGGGGCTCAGAGTCTTCCCAGATCTGAGATTTCACATGTCAGCAGCATGATGCCCTGGATATCCCACCTGTTCCTTCTTCTTTAGAACTGTCAATTTCCTCGCTCCCTGATAGTTGACTTGCTACGAGTTTATGATTTGTCTTTCCACCTAGCAAGTAGCTTCCCTGAGGGCAGGAACTGTGGCTGGCTATCTCTGTCACTGCCCCCTCACCATGCTCAGCATGTAGAAGTACCCAATAAACCACGCTGGCCAAATCCCTGATTGACTATTATATTGTTCCCTTGGGGAGGGGGGTGCAACTGGCCAANATGTGAGAGGAGCAACCAGGTGCCCAGCACCCAGCCTCCAAAAGCATCTCCAGCCAGGAAATGAGGAGTGAAGAAGTGCCCCCCAACCCCTGCTGCTTTAGTGTCATGAAGGAGGCGGCATGTGGAGGGCTGACCACAGGGCTCCTCCCAGATGGTCGTGAGTCCCCACAGCAGCAGCAGGAACTGGACCCGGAGGCTGGTGAACCTTACAGCTCTGGGTATAGGCTGCTGCAAGCTGGACAGGAAGGAGGGACCCGGAGGCCAAGGCTCCCAGTGGCTGTGCTCCTGGTTCTGGACTTCCCTAGGGCCTGGGACTGTCAGGGGCCCCAAGCTCAGGCTCAGCTCAGAGCCAAAGGCTGGTTCCATTCCCCATGAAGTCCAAAGCTGGCCCAGCTAGGAGGAACAGCCACTCACACAAAAGGGATATCATCGCCCCTCAAAATGCGCTGTGATTTGTTCCAAACTCCTTCCTTTGGTTTCAGGGACATACAACAAGGTGAAAAGGACACTGCAGGTACAGAAGGCAGAGGAGAGACAGAAGGCTCAGTAAGGCCTGAGGACCTCCTGCAGAGAGAGAGGACAGGGCACGTGGGGACGAGGGAAAAGGGCAGGAGGCCCCCATGGGATCACGAGCGTGGCTACCCCACCCAACCCCTGCGTGTAGACCCGAATCCACCAGGCCCATGGCTACACCCGTTCTCTCTCAATCCAGCTTTGGAGCTCAAGAAAGTGGAGGACAGGCTGGCAGGCAGTCCTGCTACCTGGGCTCAGCATTGTCCACAGTGTCAATGCTGTGTGAATGGGGAAAGTCAGGCTCACAGCAATGAAGTGAATGCGCCAAGGTCAGAGAACCACTATCAAGAGACACGTGGCATTATACTCCTCTGTCTATCTACGTATCGATCCCATTTAATTCTCACAGTATCTCTTTAAGAAAGTAGAACTACTGACGTCTTCACTTCACAGATGAAGAAACTGAGATGTAAGAGTCTAAGGGAGTTTCCCAAGTCATGAAGCCTGTGAGAGGCAGAGCCAGGATGGGATCCAGGGCTGTCCAACCCCAACGCCTGCCCTCCTAACTGCGAAACCACCTGCTGCAGGCCCGAAGGGTGGGAGCCAGAGAGAAGGGACGTGGCTACGCCAGCAAGGTGGCTCCTAGAAGTCCCACGTGGTTTCAAACGAGCAAACATGCAGTGAGCAATTCTTTGAGAATGGAGACCCATCTTACCTTTTTCTGTAGAACTTTGCATGTTGCAAAAGCCCCAAATGGAATCTAAGATAAGATAAAAAAATGTAAGTATCTCCCCTTCTGCCAGTTAATTTGTTCTCTGAGCAGCATTCATGTGAGGGAGTAATGGGCAGGAGGTAAACGAGAGCAAAATGCTCATGGGGAGAAAGTGCTAAGTCTGGGGAGGAATGTTGCTGGGGACGTGGTCAGCTCTCCCTTCAAGTAGCTGGCAGAAGACTGCCCTGCTCTGCCCTGTCCAATACATCCTATCCCCATGGTGAACCCTATCAGACGCTGCAGAATGCCAGACTCTTCCAGTTCCCTAGGGATCGGTGCGCACACGTTCCAT